GCTATAAAACAGTCTGAACAAACTAAACAAACAAACAAACAAACAAAACCAGAAATAAAAATCCTATCAAGTATCTTTCCTGATCACAATGGAATAAAACTAGAAATCAATAAAAGGAACCTCAGAAAATACACAAACACACGGAAACTGAACAATATGCTCTGAATCACCGAAGATAAGTCAGTGAGGAAACTAAGAAGTAAATTTTTAAAAATTATTGAAACATAAACAGAAATGCAAGATACAAAATCTGTGGGATATAATAAAAGCAGTACTAACAGGGAAGTTGAGAGTAATAAATATCTATATCACAAAAGCAGAAAGGCTTCAAATAAATAACTCAACGATACAACTCAAGGAACTAAAAAGGCAGGAATGAACCAAACCTAAAATTAGGAAAAAAAGAAATAATGATGATCAGAACAGCCATAAATAAAATTGAGACCAAAAAAAAATACAGAGGATCAATAAAACAACAGGTTGGTTTTTTGAACAGATAAGCAAAATCGATAAACATTTAGCTAGACTAAGAAAAAGAGAGAAGACCCAAATAAATAAAATCAGACATGAAAAAGGAGACATAGAAACTGGGAAATAAGAAATATGAAGAATCATTAAAGACTACTAGGAACAACTATATGGCAACAGATTGGAAAACCCAGAAAAAATGGGTAAATTTCTAGACACATACAACCCACCAAGATTGAACTGTGAAGAAATAGAAAACCGCAACAAAATAGCCATGAGTAACGAGATCAAAGCTATAATAAAAGTCTATCGGCCAGGCACAGTGGCTCACACCTGTAATCCCAGCACCTTGGGAGTCCGAGGCGGGCAGATTGTCTGAGCTCAGGAGTTTGAGACCAGCCTGGGCAACATGGTGAAATCCCGTCTCTACTAAAATACAAAAAATTAGCTGGGCGTGGCAGCGTGTATCTGTAGTCCCAGCTGCTCGGGAGGCTGAGGCACAAAAATTGGAACCAGGGAGGCAGAGGTTGCAGACAGCTGAGATCGCACCACTGCACTCCAGCCTGGGCGACAGAGCCAGACACTGTCTCAAAAAACAACAACAACAACAACAACAACAACAAACAAACAAACAAACACCTTCTATCAAAAAATGCCCAGGACCTGAAGGTCTCACTTGAATATCATCAAACATGTAAAGAAAACTATACTAATCCTACTCAAACTCTTCATTAAAAAAAAAAAAATACTGAAGAGGAGGGAATACTTCCAAACTCATGCCACAAGGCCAGTATTACCCTGATACCAAAACCAGACAATGATAAAACAAAAAGTACAGGCCAATATCACTGATGAACACTGATGCAAAAATCCTCAGTGAAATACAGGCAAACCAAATTCAATAACACATTAAAATGGGGACTGAAAAGATCATTCACAATGATCAAATGCTATTCATCCCAGGGATGCAGATGGTTCAACATACGTAAATCAATAAACACAATACAACATATTAACAGAATCAAGAACAAAAACTGTATGATTATTTCAATAGATGCCAAAAAAGCATTTGATAAAATTCAACATACCTTTATGATTAAAAATCCTTATCAAAATCCGTATAGAAGGAACATACCTCAAAATAATACATGCCACATATGAAAAATCCACAGCTAGCATTGCACTGAATTGCGAAAAACTGAAGGCCTTTCCTTTAAGGAGAACAAGCAAAGGATGTCGACTTTCAGTATGATACAACTTAATACTGGAAGTCCTGGCCAGGGCAATTGGGCAAAAGAAAGAAATAAAGGGCAACTGAATTGAAAAGGAAGGAGCCAAATTAGCCTTGCTCACAGATGACATGATCTTATTCCTGGAAAAACCTAAAGGCCACCAAAAAACTGTGAGAACTGATAGATGAATTCAGTGAAATTGCAGAATGTATCAACATACAACAATCAGTGGTGTTTAAATTTGCTAATAGTGACTATCTGAAAAAGAACTCAAGAAGCAATCTCATTTACAATAGCTACAAAATATAAAATAACTAGGAAGCAATCTAACCAAAGAAGTGAAAGATTTATGTAAGGAAAACTATAAAACTCTGATGAAAGAAATTGAAGAGAACACAAAAAGTGGAAAGATATTCCATGCTCATGTATTAGAAGACTTAATACTGTTGAAATGGCAATACTACCCAAAACAATTAACAAACTCAATGGGATCCCTAGCAAAATGCCAATACAGTCGTCACAGAATTAGAAAAAAAGTCCTCAAATTTATACAAAACTACAAAAGACCCTGAATAGATAGCCAGGCATCCTGACTAAAAAGAACAAAGCTGGAGGTATCATACTACCTGACTTCTAAATTTACTACAAAGCTATAATAACCAAAACAGCACAGTACTGGCATAAAAACAGACACATACACCAATGGAACAGAATACAGAACCCAGATATAAAACCACACATTTAAGCCTCCCCGGTTCAAATGATTTTTGTGCCTCAGCCTCCCAAGTAGCTGAGATTACAGACATGTGCCACCACACTCAGCTAATTTTGTATTTTTAATAGAGACAGGGTTTCACCATGTTGGCTAGGCTGTCTTGAACTCCCGACCTCAGGTGATCCTTTATAAGCACACAAAGCTGCCAAGAACATTCCATGGGGAAAGGACAGTCTTCTCGGTAAATGGTGTAGGGAAAACTGGATAACCATAAGAGAAGAATGAAATTAGATCCCTATTTCTCACTCTTCACAGAAATAAAATCAGAATGGATTAAAAGACTTAAAAAGGTCAGACTTGTTACAGTGAAACCACTAGAAGAAAACACTGGGGAAATGTTCCAGGAGACTGGTTTGAGAAGAGTTAGTTAGTTTGTTTGTTTGTTTGTAAGACCTCAAAAGCACAGGCAATCAAAACAAAAATACACATACGGATTACGTCAAGCCAAAAAGCTTCTGTACAGCAAAAGAAAAAATTAACAAACTATAGGAGAAAAAATTTGCAAAGTGTCTATCTGACAAGGGATTATTAACCATGATATATAAGGAACTCAAAACAGCTCAATAGCAAGAGAAAATGAGATTTAAAAATGAGCAAAAGTGCTGAACAGATATTCCTCAAAGAAAACCAAGAAGAAATGGCCAACAGGTATATGAGAAAAATGCTCAATATCACTAATCATCAGAGAAATGCAAATCAAGAAGACAAGTGAGATATCATCTCACCCCAGTTAAAATGGCATGTATCAAAGAGACAGACAGTAATAGATGCTGGCAAAAATGTGGGAAAAGGAGAATCCTCACAAGCTGTTGGTGAAAATGTAAATTAGCACAGCCACTGTGGAAAACAGTATGGAGGTTCCTCAAAAACTAAAAATAGAACTATCATATGATCCAGCAATTCCATTACTGGATATACATTCAAAAGAAAGAAAATCAAGACATAGAAAAGTCATCTGCACTCCAATGTTTACTGCAGCACTATTCACAGAGGCCAAAATATGAAATCAACCTAAGTGCTCATCAACAGCAGAATGAATTTTTTTAAAAAGTGGTATATATCCACAGCGGAATATTATTCAGCCATAAAAAGGAATGAAATCTTGTCATCTGCAGCAACAGGGATGGAACTAGAGGCTGTTATGTTAAGTGAAATAAGCCAAGCACCAAAAGACAAATATGGAATCTTCTTACTCATATGTGGGGGCTAAAATGGGATCTCATGAAGATGGGGAGTAGAATGGTGATTACCTGAGGCTGGGAAGAATAGGGAGAAGGGTAGGGAGGAGGAGTGATGAAGGGAATTTTAAAAAACATAAACATACTTAATACCACTGAACTGTACACTTTAAAAAGACTGTAAGTTTTATATATATATTTTACCTCAAATTTTTTTCTTTTTTCTTTTTTCTTTTTTTTTTTTTTTGCAACCGAGTCTAGCTCTAGCACCTAGTCCAGAGTGCAGTGGTGCAATCTTGGCTCAAGCCTCCCGGGTTCAAGTGATTCTTGTGCCTCAGCCTCCCGAGTATCTGGTATTAACAGATGTGTGGCACCATGCTCAGCTAATTTTTGTATTTTTAGTAGCGACGGGGTTTCACCATGTTGGCCAGACTCTCTTGACCTCCTGACCTCAGGTGATCCACCTTCCTCACAAAATCCTGGGATTACAGGCGTGAGCCACTGCACCTGGCCTCAAATTTTTAATAAGTATAAAATTGGGGAAAAAAAGGCAAACTTGTAAATACCCTACGTAAAGAAATAAAATAATATGGTTGTAAATATGTAGTTTAATGTTGTGACTTCCAAAGATTTTCACTAATATGCTGATTATATCTCTTTTCTCAGTATCTTAGAATTTCTAGCTTGAAACACTTCTGACATATAAGAGGCCAATCACATGTGGGGACTCCAGACTGCTTTACCGCAGACAAATCGGCACTCTAAAACATTCTGATTCCAAGTTTGAAGTTTTAAGACAAAAGAAATTTAAATATAGACTTATTCAAGGCCCACACGTAAACCATACTTTAAAACTTTTAAAAGAAATGCATTATTCCCGACTACCCAAACATGTCCAGGGAAGAGTTGAAAACATAGGTGTATATAGGGAGGGAAAGACCTACCTGAAGATCCGCTGAAAGCAGATCTGCAATATTAGGGTCAGGGTGATGCCTGGGGAAATGCAAACTCTCTCTAGTCCTCAGGCTTGAAAGACAAAACAACCACAAGCATAATTAAAGCTGTCAGTTTGGTGCCTGTCCTTCCTCTAAATCCAGATAGGACCAATAATCTCCAGTCTGGACTCCAGTGTGTCAGTGTTTTAATTAAATGAAGGAGTTACCAGGCAAGGTTGTGGAATGTCATTCACTGAAAGCCTTAAAGCATACACTTTCATCTGCCTGGGGCCAGAAGGGGAACAGCAGATGACCCCTCATGGCCACCTCTAATGCTAACAGACCGAGGTTAAAGCCGACCCTGGAGCAGCTCAGCAAACATCGCGTCATTGATTTTCTGGCCTGGGCTCACCTCCCTCCGCACCGGGGTGCTGTGCGCTGCAGCCGCGAACTGCTCTAGGGCCTGCTGCTGCTCCTCTGTGGGCGGCTCCGGCCCGGGCGCTCCCGCGTGCCCCTGTGCTCCCACCGCTTCCTGGGGCTCGGCCTCCTGGTCCGGCTTGGATTCCGAGTCTGATCCAGATTCTGTCGTCATGGTTGATTGTTCTGCAAGCAGAAAAAAAGGAAGATCAGGTCACTCCATACAGCTACCTTCCCTCTGCAAGAAAACTAAGATGCTCACGGTGAACGGCTCAAGAGAACCACAAGGAAAGAGGGAGATGCTACCAAACCCTATCCTATTCCACACAACCGACAGACGACCTGTCAACTTCACCGCTGAGATGGATGCCCACCAGGGGCTCAAAACTAACATACACCTGGGAGGGAAAGTTGATTTGTAATGATCACAGGCTTTATTCCGATTAGATTTTTGCCACAACGGATTGTTAAATGACATTAGAGAAATGTCATAATAATTAAATATCTTATATTCAATTAAAAAATAATTTGCTGCATTGCCTGCATATATATTTCAATCCCTGGGAAAGATGATCTAATAATGGAAGCAGACATTCTTTCTCATTTCTCTCCTATCTCTACACAGAGGTCCTCTCAACCCCTGAATATATGGATGCCTCAAGGAACAAATGCCTTTCCCATATGATTTTTCCTAATCCCGTTATCCCCTGTGGAGTTAGCAACTGAGCTACAACAGCAGCTTCTTCAGGGCCTCGGGGTTTGTCCCACTGGCCATGCCTGGAGGGGCACAGGCAGGATCACCTCTCCTTCCCTCCCAAGTTAATTCTCATCTTCTTCCTGGCTTCCCCCTATTTCCCTTGAGTGTTGAAAGGTAAGTTTGTCTCATACCTCATAAGGAACTAAAACAACAGATTTTAGTATATAATAATCAGCTAATACATCCTTTAAAAAGACCTTCTAAAATATGAACACCATCTTCCCAAAGATTGCAAGTTAAGATGTTTTAAGATTTCATGCCTCAGTTTCCACACATGCCAAATGGGGACACAGAACATGATAATACCTAAAGAACTTATTTCTTGCTATTAGATTTTTCTCCTACTAATAAGACACACCACTAGGTTTTTAAAGCAGATTTTTGCTCTAAGCAGCAAGAAAGCTGCTATTATGCCAAGGAGATACCATGTCATTTTAAGCAATTTCTTATCTTAGGTATATGAAGTATCTCAAGTACAAATATGTCATTATTGTCATATAATTTCCCTTCCTAATTCTAATTTTATAGTAAAAATATGAGCAAAGGACTAGTGTTATAATTTAAGCAAACTATATAATTGTTATAATACAGAATCATGCAAAAATAAAACAAGTAACTCTTAGTTTCTATCTTCACTATATATAGAAATATCTTTAATAATTTGAAGAAGAAGGGAACATCATAAATACCAATCTATGTTATAAACTAAATGCTATATCTGTGTTTTCTATTTAGGGTTACTTTTCACAATCACCAGATATTCTGTTGAACAAAAGACACATACCAATTTGGCATGTACTTAGTTGCCCAAAGCATATGTAAATATCAATCTAAATACAGAGAAAGGTAGTAATGCAAATAAAATAAACAAACTTTTTTTTTCCTGTTACAATACATTTTAGATTTTAAAGCAAATCTTAAAAGTAAATATTATATTCTCTTTTGTATGCTTATCCTAGAAAGTGGCATAAATATATAGAAAAAACAGCAGAGGGGGAAAGGCGGTAGAGCCTCTGATCAAATTCCATCTTTTGGAAAAGAAAGGATTAGCTTTAATAGCCAGTTCAACCCACCAAACACTTACTGAGTACCAAATATATAAGCCAAGCACTGCTTGCGATTTAGAAACGAGATTCATCTGTTGTAACCACTACCCCGCATCCCAAGGAGTTCCTAGTCTGTGCAGGAAACATTCTCCCCCGAATCCATTTTCTCCATCTTCTTTTGGTAACTAAGCTTTCAGTTTTAGCAGGGGCCCCTTCACCCAGCTTGAGACTACAATGAGCTGTGGCTGTGTGATTAAGACAACAGAAGGAAACAGGAAAAAAAACGTACTCAATGTTTAGGACATCTTCATAAAGACAAAGCCACTTGCCCTAGATTTCCCTTTCCCATTGGCTGGATGTGCTGTTCTTAAACCCAGTCCTGGACATGTCATGCTCAGGGGAATGACAGAGCAGCCCCCTCCAGCACGATTCTCTAGATGACCTTATGGACTACCACCCACCTGTGAGGCAGAAATCAACAACTTCAGCTTGTGTTCACTGGCTCAGGAAGTTGCTAATTCTATTACCTGAGCAAATGAGTATCCCATGATTTTAGTGTTATCATCCTAGTCGGGAAATCATTTTGCATCTGCTTTTGTCTTAAATCCAGGACCATCTACAAAGCAGGGAGCCAGCAGTATACAAGCTAAAAAAAAAGTAAAATGGATAGAGCCCAACAATCATCTACCAACTATCTGAAGAATAAAATAATGTACCATTACTTTTAATCTATGATTATACCATATAATACCTTACCTGTTGTGTATCACACAAATCACAGCAGCTCGTACCTCAAAATCATCTACTATGCCCTTGTGATGTATTTCCTACGTATATTAATTTTTCCAGCACTATAGGCATAATATAATAAATGCAAATCATTGCTCTTTGGACCAATTTTAATAAAATAAAACTGTCAAGGCTACTGAGAGATAAAGTAATAAAACTTTAAAATGTATGGCTTTTTAATGCTGGGACATCACTAGAATCAATATCTAATTCCACATTTCTCCAAGGGCATAAGCTCTTATTATTCCTACAAATAAACCAGTATAAATAGCCTATATCAGCAAATTCTTTTTTAAAATATGTTTCCTCTTCTCCACCCATATGCCAATGTAAGCAAGCAATAGCCTGATTTTTAATGGCAAACTATCATAAACATCTAAATACAATATGTCTGGCCAAGCTCAGTGGCTCATGCCTGTAATCCCAGCACTTTGGAAGGCCGATGCGGGTGGATCACTTGAGGCCAGGAGTTCAGAAGCAAGCTGAACAACATGCTGAAACCCTGACTCTACTAAAGCTCAACCAGGCATGGTGCTGCGTGCCTGTGATCCCAGCTACTTGGGGGGCTGAGGCACGAGAGTTGCTTAAACCTAGGAGGCAGAAGTTGCAGTGAGCTAAGATCATACCACTGCACTCCAACCTAGGTGACACAGAGAGACTCTGTCTCAAATAAATAAATAAGTCTAACTTTAACTTGTTATTTCAATACGTTTATAGTGCGCTCCTTCATTCTTAAACCCAAATGCCAAACCATTTTTTTAAAATTAGATTTTCATGAAATTTACATTGCTTTGGTTCTTCTTTTTCTTATACTCATTCCTTGCTTTCTGAGATGGTTCTTGCCATTTAAAATCACAGCTTCCCCTTTCCAACTAACTAAAGACTATTGTTTTCCAAGGTTCCTTTCTCTTCTGATATAGGCTCACTTTGGACCAAACTATCTACCAATTATTTGGGCTACTGGAAGTAAACATCATCACTTGAAATCCCAAACAGAAAGTGATACAAAATCTATCTATGCTTAGTTTTGACCGAAACTGTCCTTTCTTTATACTAAATTCACCTTACAATTGTGTTTTGCTTGGGCTTTAAAGGTTTGGATTCCTAAAAACTCCAAATCCTAAAAGTTGGGGTAAGGACGTTCATAAGTATGCTAGGCAGATGGCAAAAGAAGTCCTTAATTTTTTTTTAAAGAAACGTAAATTGTATTTCAATATGTCTCTCTCAGGAATATATTTATTAAATGAATACCAAAAGAAATGGAAATGAGCTTCAAAGGGTGCATGTGCAGGTGTGAATGAAATCATCTTCACAATCTAATTCACGTACAAAAAGACGGTCATTGTCACGCATTTCTGGCTTTGTTCCTTTTCGGCTCTAATTTTTTATTCCACAGAAGTAAGAAAAGTCAGTTAATCCTCGTCTTCTCCACTTTTGGAAGTGGCAGCTCTAAAATCTCCAGCTCCTAACTAAATGACTGCTAAATTAGTTTCTGTATTCAAATTTACCTACCTCTCTTGCTGACATGAAAATTCAGTGGCATTTTATCAAAAGACACAAACTAAAGATTTAGTGAAGGAAAATGCTTAATATAAATTTCTGTCATTTATGTGTAAAACAAGATTCCTACAGAATAACAAAATGTTTCATAAAAGAAACCTCTTCATGCCATTTACCTGTCTAACGAGGATGTAAGACTAAAATGGACAAACTTTTTAACATCAACTTTTTTTCTATTTCAAGTGTAAGTTTACAGGAGAAGTGGGTCTTACTTAGCATAAGTATTTGTGACTACTGAGTACTATCCACCAGTTTGCTAAAAACCATCAGTTGCTAGCAAGTTAGAAGACAATAACATTCTTTGGCTCTTCTACTGGATTTTTTCTATTTGCATGAAAAAATGCCCTAGTATCATCCATCTAAAAAGAAAAATCCCAAAAAGAAACCAAAACAACCTGCTGTTGGTCTCACATTCAACTCTCCCGCTCCCTCTAATAGGACCCTACCTCTCTACTTTTCTGTAGAGCCAAGCTTCTGGAAGGAAGCCAAGCTTCTCATGCTGTCACCACATCCTCCCACTCACTCACCCTTCAGTATATGCCTCATAATTCTAGTAACCTTGCTGAGGTTACCAACGACCTCCCCACTAGCCAATCAATACTAGGTGACATCCCTTCTCTTTCAGTGCTCCAGGTTTGATACTCTGTTTCCTTTTCCTTTGATCTATCTTTTCTGGCTACTCTTCCTCATTTCCACTTGACTCTGTATATTCAATTTCTCATATTCTATTTCTAAACTTTGCAATTCTTTACGAATCTATCTCACTCTTTAAATCCTCTTTCTTGGAGAGCTCATCCACTTCATTTCAAGTACGATGACAATTCCAAATTCTGTGACCTCTCTCTGAGCTTCAGATCCATAAATATGACTTTCCTTCTCACTTCTGTACCTGGATACCTCGGAAGCACCTAAAACTGAACATTTTTCCACACAAACCTTTGCTCTCTGCACCGCCCACTGCCTGCTGCCAACCCCACAATCCACTTGACATCCATCTTTCCCATTGCAGCAGGTGTCCTCCATCTGTCCAGAGG